TTTGGATGTTGACCAAAAATTTAACTTTGACTACATTTTTAATATTTTAAAAAATGGCAAAAGAGTAACTTTTCATTTATCACATTAAATAATGAAATAAAAAAAACACACACAGTGTCTTCTTCTTCTCAACCCTCACCGTCACCCACCTCCACCTCCACCTCAAACCCAAAACCCAAATTTGCAGAAGAAGGAGCTATTGCTACACAGACATATAATACTGCTTTGAGTGCTTTGAGAGGGGATGCAAGGAAGATTGCAATGGAGAAGAATATTATTGACAAAATTAAACCTCCTACTTTTCAGGGCAGTGAAAATCTCCATAAAAAATGGAAGAAAGAATGCATCCACAGTAACTCCAGATACGATCCCGTCTTTATGGCCTTGGCAAGAAACTTTGCCAACTCGTTTTAATCTTAATGATGTCAAAATACATGTTGTTGATTTGAATCAGCCGACTATGGTTCTGATTGCTATCAAACCGGATGGAGGCTTAGTTGATAATACACTATGAAATAAGCTAAAGACTTATTAGAACCCCAATTATCAGATTCATCAACATGGGACTGTGAATCCAAGAAAAATCCTCATCTCTCCCTTCTCTCAAATCCATTACCAACCGTTGATTTCTTCCCTGCAGCCCAATTATTAGTCTCACTAGCACGCAAAAGGCCCAAACTCCCAGCTCGAGTCCCTATTAAAGCTTCCCTGGTGACGCGACTGCTCATCCCTCGACGGTTGTTCGTTGTAAGAACCGTAGGATTTGAAGTTTGCTGTGGAGGTGGAGGTGGTCGACGTAGATTTTGGGTTTGAGGTGAGGTGAGGTAGAGTGGGTGGGGGTAAAGAGGAAGAAGATACTGTTTCACGGGGTACCTTTCTTCCTGACACAGAAAAGGATACTGTGCAGCAGTAGTCTACTCCGCTAGACTACCTCCCGCCTCTCTCGGTCGTTTCGGGACGAAAGACAATTTGACTACAATTTGTAGAAAGCTTGCAATATGAAATTGAAATGCATCAAAACTAAATTGATCATTGATTGCTTGATTGAAAACTAGAAATTACAATAGATGCAAGTAGAAAATCACAATGGCTAGTGTAGGGTACAAACACTAGAAAACTTGAAAGATTGTTTGAAAGACTAATACCTCATATAATAGATTTAGCAACAAAAACCCAACTGATGGGAGTAGACATTTAAACACTGAAGAATCATACTAAACTTTTCTAATTTCTATCTATTTTACAATTCAAATAAACTATTACAATGTGCAGCCGAAGTTGAGCAAACTGCAGCTGCGATTGGGTCACGGGGTTTAAATAAAGTTGCGATCCATGAAATTTTCCCACATTTATCTTGGAAACATCCTCGAATCCCTTAATGAATGATATGCTTAATGGTTTGAAGGTTTCAAGGTCTTTTCCATTTGCCCAGTTATTCTTCTCGCTGTTGCATCCGCTCCATTTGACCAAGTACTCTTGAAGATAGTTCCTAGAAGCTCAGGTAGTTCGATGGCCAAGAATCTCTTTAATATGAGGAAGTAACGGTTACTGGCCAGTAGTAATCTCGAAAGAACTCTTATTGGGAGAAAAGCTCTTTTGGGCATTGAAACACACCTGAAGGCATCCAGAAGTTTAATCCTAATTTTTTGTGAAGTAGAGATAAAGTGCTCAAGATAGTCAGCATTGAAGCCCTCCATCTGTCCGTCAGATTGTGGATGAAATCTCGAATTCATGCTCAAAGTTGAACCAAGAAGTTTACACAACTCGGTCCAAAGTATGCCAGTAAATCGAGAATCCCGATCACTGATGATGTTCTTAGGCAGTTCCCAGTATTTGACAATATGTTTGAAGAAGAGTTGAGCTATCTCTTCGGCTGATACATTCTTGGATGCTGTGGTAAAGGTTGCATCTTTAGATAA